GGTAATGACACATTTTTAGTACCCGAAGACCTTTCTGGTAAGCAAGTCACTGGATTTAGCAATTTCCCGTCCTCCCCAGCCATATGCTAAAGATAATGTCAGAGGACCCAGCCATGAGATATGGGTCTTTAAACCTGTGGTTCTACTGAGTCATTGTGTGCAGGAGAAAAGCAGTCCTATGGAAGGCCAGCTTTGTGTCTACAGTCCTTTAAGTCTCAATGGCACAAAGGAAATGTATTTGCTAAGGTGTGCTTAAAAGACATTTCAGGGTTCAGATGAGGAGCAGAACCTCAGCTTCCGGTAAGCCTGGGACGTTTCTGATTAGAAAGGGAATCACATGGATTGCGTCATATGGTTCAGTGGGAATGTGTTATAATGCCGTGTTTTCCCTGAACTCACAGTGCAGTGTCAAATCTTGATCCCAGATGTTTCAGTGGTGGGTTATTTGACAGCAGCATATGTCATGTAACTGTTCCACAGGATCACAGTTTTTTTTTCCTGTTGTGAAACTTTATCAAGTTTTAGATTTATTGAATAAACATTAAAATGATAAACTAAGATAAATTGATAATTTAAGCAACACTTACATGGTGTCCACTTGGTTTTGGATACACTGAAGACATCTCCTTTGCATAGATAAGGCAGTTAGAGGCACCAGAGGTCACAGCTAGCATGAGGAGAGCTGGCTCCGGCCCAGGCCCCCACCCTAGAGCTTATGTATTGCTGTCTCCCTAAGAGATTTAGTCCTGGAGTCTACCTCCCTACCAAGCCACCTTGCTAGGTTTTGTCTCATTTTGTCCTTGTTCTTAGGCATTAATAACATGTCAAAATTGGAAGCATCACGCAGCTTGCACAGTCAGTTCAACTCCTTTATTTTTGAAGAGGGAGGCAAAATGGAGTGTGGTCATGTTGCTGGTGGGAGGCTGTGTCTACTACTGGACCAGGTTGCTCTAACTCCTGTCTGTGAGGAGTAATTAAATCATCTCATCTCATCTCATCTATCTATCTATCTATCTATCTATCTATCTATCTATCTATCTATCTATCTATCTATCTATCTATCTATCTATCATATAGGCCAGGCTGACTTTGAACTTGATAGCTTTGAGTTTTGAGCTTTGTAGTTCCTGGTGACTTCTGATCCTCCTGTTTACACCTCCAAGTGCTAGGATTACGAGCCTTCCTGACCACATCATGGTTTTATGCAATATTGAGACCTGAACTCTGGGCTTTAAGCACGCTAAAAATGCATTCTGCCAACTGAGCTACACCCCTAACACACTCCAGTGTTTCAATAACTGTTATGACCACACTGGAGCCGATTTGCTAAGTAAGGGCCCAGGTTGTATCAAGAGGCCAGAGTGGACTCTTGCACTGATTCTGGGCCATGGAGGTGTTGCCTCAGATTTCCAGTCTCCTTCCTCAGATGCTGCATGGTTGGTGACACTGGGCTGTCTTCTGCATGAGGGGAACTTCTTATTTTGTACTTAATCATTTTTGAGCATTTGGGATCTGGAGTTGGAAACCTTTTGAAAGCCTCTGACACACAGAGGAAAATCAACCAAGAGCAGCAGGGAGTAAAAATAGCCTGCTTTAGTTCTTTAGAGGTGAGTGAGAGTTAGTCCTGTGGCTAAAACTTACAAACTGTGCATGCATATATATTTGGTTTTTCAAGACAGAGTTTCTCTGTGTAACAGTCCTGGCTGTCCTGTAACTCACTCTAGACCAGGCTGGCCTCAAACTCACAGAGATGCACCTGTTTCTGCCTCCCAAGTGCTGGGATTAAAGGCCGCTGCCGCCGCCGCCACCCATTGCAACCTGTATATTAAAAACAGAAAATGTTTATATTAAACAGTGATTCTTTTCAAAGTAAGCTTCTACAGACAGCACCTTTAGAAAAGGGAGACTGAGCATCAGCACAGGAAAGAGAAAAACAGGGCTATGGGTGCACAGTGCAGAGTGGAGGCAGTGTAATAGAACCTTTGACAGGTCTCTGTAAAAAGCATGGAGACTCCTAGGAAGGCCAGGCTTGGGGAAAATCAAAGGCATTGACTGTCTTCAAGTGATCTTGACGTTTAAACTGTTGCTAGTTATCCTAATTTGCTTTCTGTGATAAACACCACCACCAAAAGCAACTTGGGCAGGAGAGGGCTTATACTTCATAGTATTACTGAAGAAGTCAGGGCAAGAACTCAAGACAAGAACCTGGATGCAGGAACTGAGGCAGAGGCCACAGAGCCATGCTGCTTACTGACTTGCTCAGTCTGCTTACTTCTTTCTCCTCCTCCTCCTCCTCCTCCTCCTTCTTATTTGAAATGTATTTATTTTACATCCCAGCTGCAGTTTCTCTTCTCTCCTTTCTCCCCAGCCCCCTTCTGTTCCCACTCGCCAATCTACTCCTTCATTTCTGTTTAGGAAAGGGCAGGTCTCTCCTGGATATCAACAAACATGGCATATCAAGTTGCAGGAAGACTAAGCACCCCTCCCCCCATGTATTAAGGTTGGTCAAAGTGACCCAGTATGAGGAGTAGGGTCCTAAAATCTAGTATTGTGCCCACTGTTAGGAGTCCTACAAGAAGACCAGACTGCACAACTGTAACATATATGCAGAAGACCTAGGTCAGTCTCATGCAGGCTCGCTGGTTGTCAGTTCAGTCTCTGTGAGTCCCTATGATCCCAGATTAGTAGATTCTGTGGATTTTTCTTGTGATGTCCTTGACCCCGCTGGCTCCTACAATCCTTCCTCCCGCTCTTCTGCAGGATTCCCTGACTTCTGCCTAATGTTTGGCTGTGGGTCTGCATCTGTTTCCATTAGTTGTTGGATGAAGCCTCTCTGATGACAATTGGGTTAGGCACCCATCTATGAGTACAGCAGAATACCATCAGGCATCATTACATTGACGTTTTGTTTTTCCTCCAGTCATGTCTGGTTCTATTCTAGGTCTCTGGGTCATCCAGCCTGTGGGTCCTGGCATTCCAGGCAGTGTCAGCGGTGGGCTGACTCTCCTGGCATGGGCTTTAGGCTAGACTGGTCCTTGGTTGGCCACTCCCTCAATCTCTAGGCCACCCTTACCCCAGCACATCCCATAGGCAGGACAGACTGTAGTTGAAGGTTATGTGGCTGGGTTGGTTTCCCACTCTGTCCACTTGAAGTCTTGCCTGGTCACAGGAGATGCCAGTTCAGGCTCCTTATCCACTATTGCCTGATTTCTTATACAACCCAGGACCACTGCCCACAGTGGGCTGGGCCCTCACGTCCATCATTAACTAAACGTGCCCCGCCGGCCTATCTGAGGGAGGCATTTTCTCAATTGTGGTTCCTCTTTCCAGATAACTATGTGACAATGGCAGAAAGCTAACCCGCACGGTAGTTAACAAACAAAAAGCCACGGTGGAACCGTCTCCACAAGTCCCTCTCCTTTATGCCACCGTTGTCCAGGTGGGTTTTCGGACAGCGTGATGGTGTTGGAATCCCTGCATTGATTGCTGTCTGTATTCTGGGAGAAGGCACAGTCCTGGAGGCCACAGATGGCGTCTTCTGTATATACAGCAGTCTACTCGCCGTGGGTGCTGAATGAAGCGGTCAGTTAGTGATGAAGGGAAATGGCCAATTACTGAAGACCCACAGCCATGTCAGGCAAATGAGAGTGCCACTCTGGTGTTTTGTTTACCTGGCCCTCACTGTGCCCTTTAACTACTTTGTTCTGGTTTTGTTGTCCTAACTGTTTGGTTTTTGTGACAGGGTATCAGAAAGTGGAGACTCACCTTGAACTAACTCTCTGTATCAGCTGAGGCTGACCTTGATTGAATTTGTGATCCTCCTGCCTCCACTTCCCAAGGGTTGGGATTGTAGGCACAAACCTTTATACCTAAATTATATACTCTGTGTGTGTGTGTGTGTGTGTGTGTGTGTGTGTAATTTCATCATTATCTCCATTTTTATAATAATACTATGTAAGCTAAGGTAAAGTAAAGATACAGGATTTGGGGGAAAAGTAAGACTATTTTATTTTTTGATCCTAACATTACAGGGTTGCCAAAAATATTTTTTAAAAAATGGAGAGAGTGATGTGTTAGAAATCCAACCAACTCCTGTTATCCCAAGCAGGAAAAACTGCCTGTTAGGGTACTGATAATGGTAAATGTGTTATAATGTTATTTATTATTGTGGTGTGTGTGTGTGTGTGTGTGTGTGGTGTATGTGGTACGTGTGGTGTGTGTGTATGTGGAGTGGCGTGTGTGTGGTGTGTGTATGTGGTATGTGTGGTGTATGTGGAGTGGCATGTGTGTGGTGTGTGTGTATGTGGTATGTGTGGTGTGTATGTGGTGTATGTGGAGTGGCATGTGTGTGGTGTGTGGGTATGTGGTATGTGTGGTGTGTATGTGGTGTATGTGGAGTGGCATGTGTGTGGTGTGTGTGTATGTGATATGTGTGGTGTGTATGTGGTGTATGTGGAGTGGCGTGTGTGTGGTGTGTATGTGGTGTATGTGGAGTGGCGTGTGTGTGGTGTATGTGGAGTGGCGTGTGTGTGTGTGTGTGGTGTATGTGGTATGTGTGGTGTGTATGTGGTGTATGTGGAGTGGCGTGTGTGTGGTGTATGTGGAGTGGCGTGTGTGGGGTGTATGTGGAGTGGCGTGTGTGTGGTGTATGTGGAGTGGCGGGTGTGTGGTGTATGTGGAGTGGCGTGTGTGTGGTGTATGTGGAGTGGCGTGTGTGTGGTGTGTGTGGAGTGACGTGTGTGTGGTGTATGTGGAGTGGCGTGTGTGTGGTGTGTGACGTGTTCCTATGCATTCCTGCAGAAGTCAGGCAGCTTTTGGGAATCGGTTCTCTCCCTCTCTGGGCTGGGGAGATGGTCAGTGGATAGAAGCATTGCTGCAGAAGCTTGGGGCTATGAATTCACCCATGACCACCTTGCCAGCCCAAAGACAGTAACTATCTCAATGTAGAGTGTGCAGCCACCATCTCACCTCCAGTTCCGTGCCCAAATCTGTCAGTTTCCTGGCTGAGGAAGCGGGCAATGGGCAGTGACCAGGCAGGACATATCTGGGTGCCCTGTCCATGTCCTCACTGGAAGCCATGACTTCAGGCCTCCAACAGCCGGTGAGCATGGGGTTTGATCCTGAGAGCTCTGTTTCCAAACTCATTCACATATGCCTCAGTTTCCCCACCTGTATAGTGAAGATAAAGTAGCCCTCGCACAGCACTCTTAGGAAGTGCAGGAAACAATGTCTGGGCAGTGTCTAGAGCCTGGGACATCGAAACGGCACCATAAACGCTGGTTTCTCCTGTTTTATTCACTGTGCTCTTCTCAACCCCCACCCCCCACTCTAGCGGGAGAAACATGAAAACAAACAAGCAAAGTGGAGTCAGTGCTGGAGTGGACAGTGGAGTGTGGCCCGTGGGCATGTGAACTCAGCACGAACTAGTGGTGTCCAGGGGAGTTCTTGGGTGAGAGTGGGCTTCTTTGAGGCTCTCGCGGTAGGAGTCAGGAAGATTCTGGTGACAGAGCTGGTCACACCGAAGACAGGAACCACACACCTTTGGTAAGTGCAGTTTCAGGGTCTGTATATTGACACTGGCCAGATTTTTTTTTTTTTTTTTTTGAGGCAGACTCTCACTATGTTGCCCAGGCTGTTCTCAAATATGTGGCTAGCCTCCTATTGCTGCCTCTCAAATGCTGGGATTACATGTCTGTGCCACCAAGCCCCACTTAATTTTCCTTAATCCATAAAGATATCAGAGTATTTAATTGAATGAGCGTGATTCATCACTGTTTTCCAGTGTGTGTACATATGGACATGTATTTTTCAAGTGTTTCAAGAATTAAAAAAAAACAGTTGGGTCGATGGAAGAGTGAGCTAGCTCAGGCTATGTTGAAAACACTCTCTTCCTATTCTTTAGCTTCATGAGAAGACCGCCCCTGGCAGTATCAACTTCTTTATTCCCTGTAAACATTTTGAAACTGTCTCATGTGTCCTGTGTGCACTGGGGAGGGGTGGTGGCTGTTCTGTCACTTCATCATGGCTGGCCTTGGCTGTACTGTAACAAGGGGAAAGTCACGCCTAGCATCCACCCCAGATCCGGTCCGGGGATGGCAGGGGTGGGGGTGGGGAGCAGAAGTGACCATCCCCTTCAGGACACAGCAGGGAGAGCTTGTTGCTAGGGCTGAAGATCAGTGTTAGGGCACTTGCCCTGCATTCATGAAGCCCTAGGCTCTGTCCCCAGCACTGGAATTCTCCCTCCTCCAAAACAAAACAAGTAGGATTTCTTCTTTAAGTCAACAAATCTAAATGCAAACAGAAACCACTGTAATATTTCGTGGCAGAATAGAATCCATATGATCATTTCACAAAGAAACTTGGCAATATGTTTAATATAGGCAAGTATTTTGATTAGGGAATATAAATGAAAATAATCCAAAGGAAATAAAAATGTACAGGAGAACATATTTATTACAGTATTTTGTAATGATGATTTCGTATTTTTTGACACAGAGTCTCATAAAACGCACTTGGGCCTTGAACTCACTGTGTAGTAGAGAATGACTTCACTCTCCTGAGTCCTGACCTCCCAAGCGCTGAAATTAAATCTGTGCCATCACATAGCTGTAATTTGTACCAATTTGTAACAATAGTGTTGAAGCTTTTGTAACTGATAGAACTGGTTCATTTGGAGAGCTGGTTTTTGTATTTCTCAGGAATTTGATGAGCTAATTGTGAAAGCATGCTATTATTAAAAATCAAGATTTCTGGGACTGATGAGACGGCTCAGAGGTTAAGAGCACTGGTTGCTCTTCTACAGAACCTGGGATTGATTGATTCCCAGCACCCACATGGCAGCTCACAGCTGTCTGTAACTCCAGTTCCAGAGGATCCAATGCTTTCTTCTGGCTCCATGGGCACTGAATGCACATGGTGCCTGGACTTGTATACAGGCAAAACACCCACAAACATAAAAAACCCAAAATTTCTGAATTAAAATTTCCTAAATAAATTATTTTGACAACAAATGCTTCAACTTCTGAAAACCCATCTTTCACTGGTTTCTTTTTTTCTGAAATTATATATGTTGCTTTTGTGTAGTAGAGATGCTGTAAGTACTGCCTATGCCGTTCCAAGCTACGTGTTCTGTAGTGATGTACTGTTGGTAGCTTGAGAAGAGTTCTGGTGGGAATGTGTACCTCACGGAAACTGGCGAACACTACAGCCGCCCTTCCCCCTCCACCTGGGTATTAAGTGTTTGTCGGCACCCCAGGCATGTTACCCGTGTATGACACTGGAGCTTTCCACTTCCTGCTTCTGCTCCATGGGGCCCAGTTCTTTTCTCTTACCTGTCATGGTGCTTTTGATCTAGAGATGTGTTTGGCTGGAGAGGAATATGTGTAGTTATGCAACATTCTCTCCTTGCTTTCTACCCACTGGAACAGGAATAACAGATACTAAGGATTTTAGTTCAGCTCAGCCCTCAGTTCTGTTGGTCCCATTTGTGTAGAGGTAGGATGCTTCTGACCTGCTCTTTTCCCAGGAAGAGCTCTTACTCACCTTAGCATTTCCAAAGTCTTCCAAAGAAATCAGCAAGGAACTTATCAGAATACAGAGATTCCTCAAAGTCCCATGGTGCACCCATAAAATGGAGATTCTCGGGGGTGGGGGATGGGACTCAAACGATTATATTGTAAGTTGTAGTGAGATTTTGGCCACCCCTCATTGCCTGCTTGGCCCCTTCTGAGGGTTCTTCCTAAGAAGGCCCCTGGACCTGTGTGCCTATCAGCTAACTTGAGTGCTGGTCTGCCTTGCTTGATAGCCTTGATTTTTTTGTTTAGATTGAAATTCTGGACCTAAGAAACTGTAACAAGAGGCTATTTGTACGTTACCCTGTTACTCACGCCAGGCCTTGTCCCTCATGCTGACTTCTTTGGAGCACACATTCCTCCCTCAGGCACCAGCCTGTGGTGATATTGTGTCCCCCAATATATTGTGCATCCTAATATACTTATCTGGGGTCAGAGAACAGAACAGCCACTAGATAGATATAGAGGCCAGAAAATGGTGACACACACACCTTTAATCCTAGCATTCTGGAGGCAAAGATCCATCTATATCTCTGTGAGTTCAAAGCCACACTGGAAACAGCCAGGCATGGGGGGCCATACCTTTAATCCCAGGAAGTGATGGCAGGAAGCAGAAAGGTATATAAGGCATGAGAACCAGGAACTAGAGCCCTTTAAGCTTTTAGGCCTTTAGCAGCAGTTCAGCTGAGATCTATTTGGATGAGGACTCTGAGGCTTCCAGTCTGAGGAAACAGGATCAGCTGAGGAGTTGATGAGGCGAGGTTAGCTGTGGCTTGTTCTGCTTCTCTGATCTTTCCGCGTTCACCCCACTATCTGGCTCTGGGTTTGTTTTTATTAATAAGACCTTTTAAGATTCCTGCTACAGCGGCTTCTGCCACAGGTGGAGATCAGTTGGGGAAGCGGGTGGATTTCCATTCCCTTCGGCCTCTGCTGGACAGCAGTTGGTTTTGACTTTGCTGCAATGCAGCTGTCTTTCTCTTTCAGGCGGGGTCTCCTCTCCTACGTCATGCTGTTCTCTCTTCTTTCTGATGGGAGCATCTCACCCCCAGTTGTCTGCACGGCTTGTTTTTTGTGTCCTCTGGGTCAATGATAAAATGGTCAAATGTTCCGTTCCTGGACTAACATTGAAAACTGCCCTCTGTGGCAGTCCACACTGATTTTAGCCTTTTGCCTCGGGTTATTTCAATGCTAGCCGTTTCTACACAAGAACTTGAGCTCCATGAGAGCAGGGGCCTGCTGTGTAGTTGGTGTTCATTAACTCCTTGTGAGGTGAACCTGCCTGCATATCTTTAGATGTGTCCAGTAGGTCTTCACCCTGGCTTCCCGAGCTGCTCATCTGTTTTTTCATCTGCCTTGCAGATACTCAATGCTGAGAAACTTCTGCGGTTTGGAACATGTACTGATGTAAATGGACAAGAAAGAAAACCTGGGATTTTCTCTGTGGATGCCACCTTTCATTTTCAGAAAACTCACAAGGACTTGATTCAGTCGCCCGTATTTGTCCTGTGGGTAGTAATCTGTGATGGGAGGGACCGAGCGAACTGGAAACAGTGTGAAGTAACTGTGACAGGCTTGCAGAACTTCTCCTTTCTCGTATCCTAACAGAAGTTTTTGGTTGGGATGTTTCGGATTAGGAGGCCATCTCTCATTTATGAACTACCAGGAGGCTTAGAAGTATGTGTTGGTCACGTGTGTCCTGACTCACCTCAACAGAGGAAATAGGATCGGGCTGACTAACAGTGAGGTAATTTCTGCAGATCTGTTGCAGACAAAGTTAATAGATTACAATTAAAGCCTTCATCCTGCATTCATAGGGGTCCCTGCTCCTGCTGGCATTGGGAAATCTACCAAGCACAGTCTTCGGTGCTGAGCACTCTTTAGGTGCCAGTGAGTCTAAGAAGTGATTCCCGCGGGGTACTGCTGGCAGTCTAGAGCTTGCAGATATGAACGACCTCTGGCCTGTGGGCTGTGTGTGGCTGAGGACAGAAACGCATTCAGCCCAACACAAATACGTAGAATTGCTTGAAACAGGAAAGATTTTTTGAACAGTTCTCGGTAGAGGAGTTTGTAGATGATGACATCATACCAGTGTTGTGATATCAGAAGGCTGGGTATACTGCATGCATCCATTGAACCAGGACTGGACTGTGTAGACGAACTGTACCAGACCACCTGAAGTGGGCTGGTATTTTGACCTGATAGTAGAATTTAGCTTTCTTTGGTAGCGATCTTCAAACAATATGATGATCTTAATGTTTATTTTTCCCTAAAACTGATGTGTTAAAATCCCCACCCTCAAGGCTATGGTGATATGAACTGGCATCTTTGGGCAGTGATTAAATTCCGATAGCTCTTCATGAGTGGGATTATTGCCTATTCCAGGGTATAGTGGGATGGGACCTCATACACACAATAATAATATGTAAAGTATTTTTAAGACCCAATATTATATACTTAAAAATTGTGTTTGTTTTAGATCTGCAGATAAGTTATGGAGGAGATAGAGAATGTCCCCAAAAGGACACCAAGGGGTGTTAGCCTTTGGCTTCTCTGGATACATGGGTGAAGGTCTCTATTGGGCCACACATTACATGGCTCCTCTGCATATGTTGCATCTGTAATGTTGTATCTCATCACTAACTAATGTTCATGCTTTATTCAGAATTAATTTGCTCCTAATTGGCTCTTGCTCTGCCTGTGTTCTGTCTAGGATACCACCTCACAGTTTGCAATTTAGTAGTGACCCGCTTCTGTGCTATGCTGCCCCTCCCCCCCCCCCCCCCCGCACCCCCCTCCCCCCGCACCCCCCCACCTCTGGCTTTCCTTGTTTCTGATGACCTTGGCAGTTTTGAGGAGTATTGCCTAGGTGTTTTGTTGAATGTCCATCATTTGGGTTTCTTGATGATTTCTTACGAACAGACTGGGACTGAGGGTTTGGGGAGGGAAACCACGGAGGTGAAATGCCATTCCCTTGACTTCATAACAAGAGGCACGTGATCAGACTGACTTATGAGTGTCACTGACCTCGACTGCTGCCTGCAGATGTGTTTGCAGCTCTTTCTGTTATGAAGCTATTCTCTCTGTCCTGTCAATGATGCACACATCTTGTGAAAGCAGTCATAGTTGGGGGCAAGGTGTTACTAGACACTTCTTAGGAAGATGAGTAGTTACTGAAATGTGGTGGTATTTTGTTTGTGCTCTAACAAATAAAGCTTGCCTGGAGATCAGAATGGAGAGCTAGCCACTAGAGGCCAGGTAATGGTGGCACACACCTTTAATCCCAGCACTTGGGAGGAGGAAACAGGAAGTGATATGGCTGGGAGGAGAGAGGAAGTGATAAGGTGGAGGGGAGACAGGATCTTGGCCCCTTTCAGTCTGAGGATTCCTAGAGGTCAGAAGTCTTTCTAGTGGCTGCTGCTCTGCTTCTCTGATCTTTCAGCTTTCACCCTGATATCTGACTCTGGGTTTTTATTATTAAGACCAATTAGAGTTCATGCTACACTGAACTTTGGAATTATGCATAGAAGATTTGTCTTTGAACTCATTTACTTATTTATTTATTCAATTATTTATATGGTATGAACTAATGCTATTTATTTTATGCTTTGGGCTATTATCCAGGGCTATCTTTCTTATTTAGTTATATTTTGCTTTTGAAAAACTTTTTTTAAATTTTGCTCTGTTGTGTGTGTGTGTGTGTGTGTGTGTGTGTGTGTGTGTGTGTGTTTTGTTGGGGTGAAATTCAGTATGTTAGGCAAGATTTCTACCACTAAGCTATATCACCAGCCCCTGCTAAAAATGTTAATTATTTCTTTTTTATTTTTAAGATTTATTTATTTGTTATGTATACAGTGTTCTGCCTGCATATATACCAGATCTCATTATAGATGGTTGTGAGCTGGGAATTGAACTCAGCACCTCTGGAAGAACAGTCAGTGCTCTTAACCTCTGAGCCATCTCTCCAGCCCCATTAGTTATTTCTTAATATGATAACTTCTTCTTAGTCCAAGGACTCAGAACCTGCGAGTCTTCTGTAAACAAAATGATCATGTATTTAGTGAGTAGGAATGACTAGAAGTGATGGTGTTTACCATCACCATCATTATTAATTATTGCAGGGTCTTCTGTGACTCAGGGTGGTCTTGAATTTACTATGTTGAAAGTAATGACCTTAAACTTCTGATCTTTCTGCCTTTACCTCTTTAGTGCTAGCATTACAGGGGTATATCATCATACCTGGTTTATGTGGATTGGAGATTGAACCCAAAACTTTGTGTAGTCTAGGCGAGCACTCTACCAACTGGGCCAGCCTCTAGAAGTCATGAATCTTGTTTTATTTCTTTGGAGGTGGACAGTAAAATGCAGGCCCACTGCTCTGGGCTGAGACTTGCTTTAGCAGAGGATGTTGAGGTGGCAGATCGCTGGGCACTGGCGCAGTCATACTGTCTCTGTAGCTCTTTCACAGCGTTGGCCTCTGTGTTCCTCTGTGTCTGGCCCACCCCAGCTCCTGCCATTCTGATTCTGTGGTAGGCCAGTCTCGCTTGTGTTACCTGGATTCAGTGGCCTGAGAGTAGTCTCCTTACTTTAAAGTCTCTTTCAAGAGTCAGTGACATTTATATTTACCTGTTATTTTACAAATGAGCCATAGAAAATGACAACCTTATGGCACTTTTGAAGAAAGATAGCACTTAAGAGGCAGTAAACCTCTCAAATATTCTAGCAATGGAATGAAGAAGAATAAATTTAGCCAACTTCAGTTCACTTTACATAGGAGACCCAAAATAAAGAAGTTTAAAAACTTATTCATGGTGGTACATGCAACCCTTTTCCCATTAGTAAGATGCTTGCGTATGCCACTTACCTTTCTGGTTGGTGTGATAGAATACTTGAGAAAACAATGAAAGGAAGGGGGGTTTGTTTTAATTTGAGGGTGCAGGCTGTCATGGTTGGACAATCACTATGGCAGGAACTTGAGGCAGCTGGTCATATGGCATCCACGGTGAGGAAGTAGAGAGTGAGGAATGTTAGTGCTCAGCTCCGTTTCTCCTTTTTATGCAGCTTGGAACTCCAGCCCATGGACTGGTGCCACCATGTTTAGGTGCCTATGGAGGTTGGAAGAGGATGTCAGATCACCTGGGAGCTGTAGTTACAGGCTATTGTTACTTGCTGAACATGGAGGCTGGGAACTCGGGTCCTCTACAAGAGTAACAAATGCTCTGAACTGCTGAACCATCTCTCAGGTCTTGAGAGCTGGAATTTCATGCTGAAGTGTTCTGGGTTTTGGACTTTGTCAGAAGCATGGCCATAATGGTGTTTATGGACAAGCATAGTGTTATGATGGTTGGCTTGGGAAGAAAGTGATTCCAGGACAGCAGTTAAAAATTATTGAGACAGCCCAACCCAGATGTAGGATGGGCTGGAGAAGAGCCTGAGGTGACATATAAACAGAAGTTTTCCTATGTCCTGCAGCCACTTCCAAATAATCACTCAGAGGCTTATATTAATTACAAATGCTTGGCTGGTAGCTCAGGCTTATTACTAACTAGCTCTTACATTTAAATTAACCCATAATTTTGTTCTATGTTAAGCTACGTGGCTTAGTGCCTTTTCTCGGTGTGGCATTCTCATCTTGTTTCCTCTGTCTGGCTAGTGTCTCTTGACTCCGCCCATCTTCTCCCATCATCCTTTGTTTGGCCACCCCACCTATACTTCCTGCCTGGCTACTGGTCAATGAGCATTTTATTAAACCAATTCAAGTGACAAATCTTTACAGTGTAAAACAGGATTATTTCACAGCATTTCCCCCTTTTTGTCTAATTAAAAAGGAAGGTTTTAACTTTAACATAGTAAGATTATATACAACAAAAACAGTTATTAAGTGAGAATTACCATAACATTATCTAATCCATTTGCATTTGATAAAATTAGAGAAAATACTTAATTATCTTATCTTGGCGAGTCTGAAGTTTTATATCTAATTTGCTTTCTATTATAACTAAGGAAAACTATGATTATAACTATTTAGTCTTCAACTCCAGCAAAGCCCCCAGAAGGGTGAAATGTTACCTAATGATAGGGACCTCAAGCTGCCTGGATAGTCACCCAAAGTTCCTCTGCAACATTGGGGCATCCAACTCTGGCCTACAGGCCTAGCATGTCTGACAGACTTACCTGTGAAGCAGAGACTTTTGAAAGACTATCCTACCTTGTCTTGGCAAAGTTCAGCAGTTGTCCTTCTTGCATCCTGCTGGTCCAGTGTGGACAGTAACTGTCAGCAATTGAGACAAGGGCAGTTTCTTTGCCCACATGGCTAGCTTCTACCATAAAGAAAACAAACTCCATATGGAGTGTCTTTGATGCCCATCATCCTCTTTGAAGTAACTGGTGCTGCCAGGAGCAGACGTGTCTCACTGTTGAGAAAAGTCTTCAATTATTAAAACATTTTAAATGCCGTATTCTCTAGAACTTTGAAATGTTTGAAGATTGCCTATCTACCTGAAATACATCTCTGTATGACCTTGAAAAGCTAACTAACATGACTATAAGTTTGCTATTATAGATGACTATTAATCTGTATTTCTTAATTATATATTACATTTTAAATGAACTTCATAAACATAATACCCTAAACAAGGGTAGAAATATACATACAGTATAACAAAATTAACTTTAAATTTGCATCAATAAACTAAAATTCATACTGATGTAAAATATGTAAGATTAACAGTTGTTTTTTGTATTAAAGTAGATTCAATAATCTGCTCTTTTATCCTATCATTTCTATCCCACTCTTTTCTTTTTAGAATAAGATCCTTGAATCTAACCTCCTTTGTTTAGCTTCTTTTCTGACCATTACCAATAATAACTTGTAACCAACCCCCCTAAACAATGACAAACATTTATAATTTATTTTTGAGAATGTGGGTATAGTTCTCTAGACTACTTTCCTGTTGATTGAGGGCACTGATAATCTTTGGAGGGCCCTGAGAAAATTCAGGATTATGATTAAGTCTTGGCTGGAATATCTATGAGGCTGGATCATCTCAGCCAGCAGCCTTGAAGCTGTTTTGGATGCAGAACTTAGAGGAAACTGCAACAGAGGCACTCTGAAACATTGGGTCATCTGGGCCATTCTTTCCCATCAGACAGTTTTCAGGGTGTCTTCCTTGATCAAACCTTATTTTTGTTAACCCAGAATGAATCCATAGCCTCTCATTTCCTATAGAAACAAAGCATAACCTCTTCTCCAAAGTAGCATATCTTTTGACTTAAATTTTGAAGTCAAGGCATTTTTAAAATATGTAGGTTGGATTAATCTAGCAACATTTATAATCAAATGTCTCTAAGCAGCTGTTGC